GTATGAAGAAGCGGGGAGGGATGAAGAACAAGAGTTTAGAAGCATAAGAATGAATCTAGAGCAGTCTATAATTTACTCTTGACTCTCTAGGGCAGGGTTTCTCAACCGTGGCTTTGTTGATATTTTGGGCTGGCTAAGTCTTTTTTTTTTGGATGCTGGCTTGTACAGGGATCAAACCCTGGACCTTGGTGATATCAAGTCCCCAGAAAGCAGGACTACATCCTCCTCCCTCACTTGGGATGGTCCAGGGCTCAGTACCATATGGCTAGGGCTGGGGTTTGATGGATGAGTTTCCGTGGGGTCTTTCCATGGTGCTGGGGGCATGGCTAGATTAACGATAGGTGCCATTTTCCAGCCAGTGGGTTCGAATGAGCCGTATGGGAGTCATGTGTACTTTTTTGATAGCCATATGTTCTGCCACCCAATGGCCAGAGTGCTGGCTCGTCTGAGAGTTGCTCACACATATGTGGTAGCAGCAGCCCACAGACATTTGCTCCTTATCTCTCCCCCAGAGTGTAAGAGGAAACCTGTAAGACTCAATGAACAGCTCTTAGTCACGAGTACCCCCTGTCCATAAACGAGAGCAGCAGTGACTTGCTTCACTGCTCCAGGGTTGCAGAATCAGATGGTAGCAGTGGCTAGGAGGGCGGTGTAAATGAGTGAAATGGGCCATGTGTAAAAATCCTGTGATAGCAGTATAGATTTAAGAAATTAGCTTTCCTCTTAACTACCTTTAGAGAAAAGCAGCACAAAAATGATGATAAATGGCAACTGACCTTCAGTTTTATTGTCCAAAGATCTAATAGGGAACAGGAAGGCATTGACACCCTGGAGACATGCAGGGAAGTACCTGACACTGGCTGTGAGGAGCTGTGATCCTGGCATTAGTAGCCAGATATCAGTTTTTCAGAAGTTGGAATCTGATTTTTTTTAATATGAAATCTCTCACTATTCAATGTTGACAAGTAAGTAAAAAAAAAAACCAATAATAATGTAGATGAAAAAGCATGGCCTGCACATGAGGCTGCCCATCGGTATCCCTTGTGGCAAGGATGTGATTAGGATTATTTTGGTTGTATCAGCCTTGCAGAAATAAGAGTGATAGGATGGATATACTCATCAGCATCGTGTTAGAACTTCACAGATGGACCACATTTTAAATAATGTTATAAATTTTTTTTTTTTTTTTGGAGGCTGGCTTATACAGGAATCAAACCCTGGACCTTGGTGTTATCAGCACCATGCCCTAACCAACTGAGCTAACCAGACAGCCCCCAAAACTTTTTTTAAAATCTAATTTTTTTCCTGTTTGTTCCACTGCCTGTGGAAGGTGTGTGTGTGTGTTAGTAATTAATACCTTCACTTGCTAAAAAATCAATATGAAAAGGTGTCAAGTGAAAAGTCTCCTTTTATCTCTACCTCCACCTGCTTCATTCTCAGCTCTATATATACCCTTTCAGTATCTCTTTAGGTAAATCTCTTTCCCCCTCTTGTGATCAAGAAGTACAATCACTTACATACTGCTCAGGACCCTATTTTCTTCCTGTGACAATGGAACTTGGCAATCTTTCTTTGTTAGTACCTCCAGCATTTCCCCATTTAAGATAATCAATTAACTCAAGTCCCGAACTTGTGTTTGTTTACATGACTCCTTCGTAGTTGCAAACATCTTGCTTGCACCTAACAGTAGCTTTTAAACTATGTTTTGGCAGGGGCTGTGTGAAAGGACCTTTAAGCGTCTGTACCAGTATATGCTGAACGCCGGTTTAGCCAAGGTGGTCTCCATCCCCTTACAAGACATTCACCCTGAATGTGGACCTTGTAAGACAAAGAAAGGTAAAGGCAGAGTTTTGGCTTCTGTTCCCTTGGCTGGCTGGCTGGTGGCTTTCACTTTTCTCTCCTAAGCTCTAGCCTTTCTCTTTGATCATGTTCTGCCTTGCAGTGTGATGATTTCACATATTTATTCAACTCTTTATTCCTCAGTCCCTCGTTCAGGACTTTCTATGTAAAGAGTGGCCAGAAAATGTTTGCTGAAAAAAGCACTTCTAACTCCCAGTAGACATTTCTATGTGGGTATACCCCAACATCTGAGATCATGGTGTCCAAAAAACAAGTTCATCTTTTCCTTTTTATACTAAGCCACTGTTCATTCTTTAGTCAGTCTTTTTTAAGTACTTGCTCTGTGTTTCATAGTCTTGTCATCTAGTCCTATAAGGTAGGTGGTGTTATCACCATTGTAAGAAAATTAAAGTTAAGAGATGCTAAATAACTTACGTAAGGTTAAGCAATCAGTATGTGGCAGAGGTGGGATTTGAACCTTCTAAGAAAGGTAAACCAAGGACAATAGACTATAAATCTTTAAAACCTTTCATAGTCTTTATTTTTCTCTATTCTTGATTTTTGTCCCATGCTGTTTAGCCTTCCTGATTAACCAAAATCATTTTTGTTTTATTTTTATTTTTATTTTTTTTAAAAGATGACCAATAAGGGGATCTTAACCCTTGACTTGGTGTTGTCAGCACCACACTCTCCCAAGTGAGCTGACTGGCCATCCTGTATAGGGATCCGAACCCATGGCCTTGGTGTTATAAGCACCAGTCTCCCAGGTGAGCCAGGGGCTGGCCCAACCAAAATCATTTTAAAAGCTGAGGGTCAGAGATGATACATGCATTTATCTGCATTTATCATGTCGAAGTACATGCATTTATCTGCACTCCACCCAAACTTCGCCACAGTGATGATAAGGGATATAAAAAGAATAAACCCACAAGCACAAAGAGAATATGACAGGAAATGACTGTAGGGAGCCATCAACAGCATTTTGATGCTCAAGGTAAGATGGACACATGGTAACCAACTGAGTAGACTGGGAAAGCTAAATGCCTAAGAAGGGTGATAGCCAAGAATTGACACCTCAGAACTCGAAAAAAAACTAAAAAATTGGAGATTCCAGGCACCTTTGAAAGCACATGTGTGGGGAGTGTCTTAGTTTTCTGTTACTTATAGCAATATCTGAAACTGGGTAATTTATAGAGAAATTTATTTTTTAAAGTTCTGGAGGCTGGGAAATCTAAGGTCCCAGAGGTGCATCTGGTGGGAACCTTCTTCCTGGTGGGAACTCTCTGCAGATTCCCAAAGTGGCGCAGGGAATTACATGGCAAAAGGGCAAGAGTGTGTGCTAACATGCTTCTTCATCTCCTTATAAAGCCACCAGTCTACTCCTGTGAAAATCCATTAATCCATTAACTCATTAATCTGTGAATGGATTAATCTTGAGTTGCTCTGGCCCTCAAGATCCATTCATCTCTTAAAGGCCCTACCTTTCAAATACTATATTAGGATTTCCCACCCTCTTAGTACTGTTGCAATGGAGTTTGCATTTCAACATGAACTTTGGAGGAGACAAACGTTCAAACCATAGCAATGGGGCTAGAGACAAAAAGGATTGGTTGATACTCTGTGTGAAAGAAGTTGCACCCCGGGTCCCCTCCCCTACTTTGCATAGCTAGATAAGATGATTCTTCCCACAGACAGAAGTCTGGAGTTATCTCAAGGGACTATGCACCAGAGGGTTTCCGAACTCACAGACCTGAGAGCAGGCTGGGGACAGGGTGCTGTGCTGGAAACTGGATATATGTGATAATCACTAAAAGATGAGACTCCTCTCAGCTGCCTTTCCCAACTTGGCTGTCTCTTGGTCTAGTCTGTCACTTGATAGGGAACATCGTTCTGTAGCTTCTTAAAAGAGAAATGGGCTCCTAGAACACTGACAGCCAGACTTACAGTCCACTAGACGAAAGGCTGGAGGCTTCTATTCTGAAGAAACTGACCAGTCCAAGAGAAAAGTCCTCCAGATACTGAAATTTGGGGGTTTGCCAACAAAATAGTTGTCCCTGCTGTCTCACCCTTTACTGGAGCCCACATGGTGGCAACCTTTTCTTTCCTCTTGCCCACCCTCTAAAACATTGGGCAGCATTTTAATGCTTCATCAAATATTTGAGGAAAACTCTAGCATTAATGTAAGAGAAACAAACAAACCTAGGAAACAGAAACAGCAGGGAGCAGAAGAAAACTTAAAAGTGAAAAAAGAGTCCTCAGAAAAGAGTAGATACTATATCCATGCAACCAGAGCATAGGCTGCAAAGAAGCAACATGCAGAAAATAAAAAAGAGCTCTTAGAAATAAAAGAATAAAAGAAATATGACTATTACAATTAAAGATTTATAGAATGGGAGATTGTAAGATAAAGTTGAGAAAATCTCCCAGAAAGAACAGAATTCAAAAGAGATGGAAAATGGGAGTTGAAATTAATAGCCCGAGCTTAAAAGGTCCAATGTCCATGTAACAAGGGTTCCAGAGAAGGAGGTACACGCATGTACACAGAGAATTGATTGGAGAGGAGGAGATTAGGAGAAATGACACAAGGAACTTGCCCAGATCCGAAGGACATAAGTTTCCAGATCAAAAGACCTACTGGGTTCCTAGCATAATGAACATAAAGAAACCCATGCCAAGATGCAGCATCCCGAGATTTCAGAAATGTGGGGATAAAGACCCTCTAGAGAGGACACCTCAGACTTCCCAATGGTAACTGAAGCTGGAAGACATGGTAGCAGCACTGTCAAAATTCTGAAGGAAACAGACTTTCAGTCTGGAGTCCTTTGTCCAGCTTCAGCATCAATCAGCAGTGAGAATAAGGATGAGTTCACACATGTCCACACTCAAACAGTTTATCTCCATGTTCCCATTAGGGAGCTCCTGGTAGATGTACACCATCAAATGACAGAATTAACCAAGAGGCAGGAAAGCATGGTGTCCAGGAAGCAGGGGCAGGTGAAGGAAAACTTGGGGCTGTGGTGAAGCGAGACAACAGGACGACAGGCCCAAAGAGCAGCCAGTTCTGATGAGTGGATGGGCGAGGGCTCCAGAGTGGTGGAAGTCCATGCAAGTGACAGGTTGCTGAGGGCGTGTGAATGAGAGAGTCTGAGCATGAATTAGTTATAGGCATGTAGAAAACCAACCAAATGGGAAAGAGTGAAGTTATTAATTCTAAGGACAAACAAAAGGTGTACAAGAAAAAAGTGCTTAGGGACTGTGTGCTTGACTGTGGGCATAGGAAATAAGCATGGAGAATGGCTTCATTAACACATCTCTGTGGAATGTGTGCTGAAGGAGGACTTCCCCATGCCCCCAGCACTTAGCTCCGTGCCCTGTGGAAGTAGGCAGCCACATTTGTCATGAGAGTACAGACCACCAGTCTGAGGGATCTTGGCTTCTTCCTTTATTATCTAGCTTAGTTAATGGAATCACTGCTGAGAAAAGTCTGAGAAGATGGTAACACACAGACAATTACAATACTGCAAGTATATTAACAAAGAGAGGAGCAGCTGGGAGGTAGGGAAGCCCTCCTAGAGCAGAACTTCATCTTCAAGTCCCTTGTTCTTAACACATTCTTCATTGCTGAGTAAATATGCAAGTGATCAAATGACTGGAACTCCTCAAGGGAAAGAGGGGGTGGCATCAGCCTTTAAGTAGAGAGGAAGTTAGAACAGATTGCTGGGTCCTGTTGCAAGGAAGAAAAGGTTCACAGAACTCAGAGGTGGCCTGGGGAATTTAACTGTTAGGAGATTCCTCAGTATTGGACTTGGAAGTCTGATCTGAATGCTTAAAATACTCATGGACTGTGGATCTGTCGGAAAAGTGTTAAAAATAAACAGACTGGAGTAATTTTATCTTTAAAGTAAAGAGAAATTAAGGAGGAAACTTAGTTCCTTAAAGAACCTTCTTTGCTGGGCAGGCAACCATGGATAAAGGCTTCTGCCAGGCGTGAGATCCCTGGAAATTCAAACTAACCATTTGAAGCTAACAGATACCTGACTGGACTTCGAAGTAAGAAGCCCTGGGTTAGAATTCTTATTCCATCACTTTCTGGTGGGGTGGCCTTCAGCAAGTTATTATTTGACCTTCCTATACCTCAGTTTCCTCCTCTGAATTATCTGGGGTAATAGTATGCACTTTCCAGGGTGTTGTGAGGCTTACAGGTGGCAGGGTACACAGAGTGTTGTGGGGCGAACGCACAGAGGAATTCAAGACTGGCGTCAGTGTTGTAGTTTTTTTAGCTCTTTATTTAGTGTTGCATCTCTTTGTTCAGTGTTACAGTGCTTTATTGCTTGCAAGCAAGGAGAGTACTGGAGGGCAGAAAACTCCCAAGCCAGTGTCTCCCAGAACAAGGGAAACGACCCCCTCATATAGCCTAATTCCTGCCCTCCTGTTCAAGTCCTCTTATGTAAATGAGGGATGCTGTCCTGCTAATTTGGATTGGCTGATTGTGGGACACAGTCCGTAGGTCACTTTAGGAGCCTAATTTGCCTCTGGCCCCTGGGGGAGGGGTGTTAGACTGCTGTTATCTCATAGGGGGCGGGCCCAAGAAGCAAGCAGGGTAAATGGCAGGGGCTTGAGTTTTCAGTGGAGCATGGAGTTTCTAAAACAGTTTCTCAAGTGGAAAAGGGAAAGGCTCAACAATTTAAAATGCTTAGGGGTCCCTGCAACAAGAGCAGGGCCCACATGCTGGTGGCATGCAGGCCCCATCTAGCAATGTATCTTGCTTGGCTCATAGTGTTTGTTTTCATTGAATTAGTTGTTGCCATTTAATAATCACAGATTTTCACCTAAAAAGCCTCACTTTCAAGTTCTCTGTAAAAATAAAATAGGCAACATGGAGCTGCATTTCCTTAGTAGCAACATGGTAGGCAGAGAGGGGCTGCACCCTTTTGATGGGGCTTGCCTTCCCCATTCACCAAGGACACCCTCCTTGCCACCATCTCACCTGCAGCCTG